GCTGAAGTCAAAGAGTCACTCATTCCTGAAGTTAAACAGAGCGTGACGGAGCAGGTAAAGAAAGAATTCGGGGAAAAGATAGACAAAATCAAAGTACTGAAAGTACCGATAGACGGAGGCTTGGAATGAACATGATTGTTTGTCTCTTTGGGAATTTTTTATTCATATTCTGACCCCAATATTTGCTAATGGTAGTTGGCCATATCTTTTGAAAAGTAAATACCAGGGCATTATTACTTCATATATCTTTTTTTGTGGAAATACTTTTCATTGGATATTAACAAACTTGACCTTTTGACCTTGACCTTCGATATTCTATACTTATGAAAAAAATTTAACCTTGGCCATGACTTTTGAATGGTAAGGGATATATGGGGGGGGGGGGGGGGGCAACAGTGTTTCACAAACACATCTTCTTCATTTATGTTACCGTTGTCTAATGTTTAATTATGTAATTTACTGAATTCCTATTTTTCATCAAAAGGACAAACCAATCTTATTGCAATAAATTATATCGATTTCAATTCTTTAGTGACTCGTGGTAAGAGCTTCCTGAAAAGTGAGAAAGCCAAAAAGTACTTTAGTATCTCTAACTGGACTCAAAGGAGTTGAAATACAAGCATTCAGATATAACAATGCATAGATCTACATGCACATTCAATTTTAATTAATAGTTCTGTTGTGTTGGGTATGAACATAAAGAAGATCCAAATATTTCCAACATTATGAAAAATATCTAGCAGAACAAACGCCTGTTTGGGTGCAGATCTTGAAATGTACTAAGCTCTACAGGTATTTGTTGTCCAGTGCGCATTAATCCTGACTTCCAAATTCTTACATGACTGGTGATACCTTTAGAAACATTTGCATCTAGGTGTAAGTTGACTCTGCAAAATATGCCATCCCATTGTTCAAGTTTTATAAAGTGATTACACCGCCTTGACTAGATATTGTGGATTCAACGATACCCTAATATCCAGTATTATACGCGATTTTACGGATAATACCCATTTTCTTTGAAAATCCTTCCCGTTTCAGAGGCGGATCCAGCCACTCTTGAAAGAGGGGTTCCAGGGTTGTACTGCCCCCCCCCCCCTCCCATACACACTCTCAAGCAAAGATTCACACACACGTATGGAAGATCTTGGGTTTCGGTAAATAATATTTGTTTACGTCCATTTATTTGTTTGGTCCCCCGTCCGAATTTAAAGAAAAAAAAACTGCTGAAGCCTTAATTAAAATTGAATGGATTTGCAGCATTTCCAAAGAGTACAAAGATTTTTTTTTTAGTTTGAAAAAAAAAATCAGTTGTGGATGCAGGGTCTGGTTGGGTTTAAAACAAAGAGTTGCATGTTAGTTCCTTCAAATGATATGATTAAAACGGTTCATATAATATAGAGCCGTTTTAATCATATCATTTGAAAGAAAAGTGAGTGGAAGAAAATAAATGTGTGAGAATCTATCTAATATTCAATACATAAGTTAGATGTACAAATATATGTATTTTTATTTAATCTCGTAAAACGTTTCATTCTCTCTCTCTCCACTAGACAGAAAATAAAGTGGGCTTCCAATTCCCGGACTCCCCCCTGGGAAATCTAATAAATTCAACTCCTTGCATACATATTTTTTTGTGGGCATACTTCTTTTTGTCACTATTGCAGATTCCATGACAACAGTGTTTTATTGCATCTTTTTTTTGCACAGGTTAGCCATAATATTACTTAATTTACACCACAAATAAGGATATGGAAATAACGAACAGTATTCAATCTCAACGTCCATTAAACAAATATACAAAACAAGAGCAGAGCAAACACGGACCTCCGAAACATCAGAGGTGGGATCAGGTGCCATGGAGGAGTGAGCATCCCCTGCTGACCGGTCACACCCGCCGTGTGCTCATTGTCATAATCAGGAAATAACGGAAAAAAATCCGTAGTCAATTCAGTGTATAAATAATGGACTAACAATTGGTATGAAAAACGTCAGTCAGCATTTCATTCAATGATAAATTGTATTTGCTGACAAGGTCATTGTATCGACCATAGAATTTACGAAATGATGACTTTAAACGAGACTGTTGATATTCTTGTTTCATCAACTTGCTTGTCAATAATTTACCTCGTTTAAGAAATTGTTCATACGTAGAGCATGCTCTTGCGTATCGAATCAACTGAGATATAAATACTCCGTATGCAGGTGATGAAGGTATATTGCTGCATAAGTAAGGGAAGTAAGATTCAAGCCACTGTTTTGGTTTTGGTCATGTAAACATAGAAACTGTCCCATCTAACTTCTGAAACATGCATGTGATAAGGAATTCTAAAAATAGGTGCAGCAGAGCTATAAACAGACAAGCCGCAGCTCTCTGCTGAGTCAGTGAGTGAACATTTAAAATATGTCAGTTTCAATGATTTCTTCTATCTAGGTAATGTAGGGCATTAATGTGATAGGACCTTCGCAAACTAATTAAAATCCCCGAGGTTAGGTGAAAGGTATGAGATAACTATAGGTTCATGAGAAAAAAAGAATTATATATTGTATGTGGAAAATATTGTGACCGAATTTGATTAATTGCATCAAAAGCAGATGCAGAGAACTGCACTCGGTGATCTGTTTTGGTTTCCCCGACAATTTAAATTCTATGTCAGCGAGAGTTTTTATCAGCCAATGAGCGTGTCAGCAGCAGACTCTAAACATTACTGATCACCTGTCTGTATACAGCACATATCCGATATCAGACAGGCAGGCCAGTTTATCAAAGTTTAGCCTGGTTTCCTGTCCCTGTTTTGCTTCATGTACTCCTGCCTTGGAAAGAATGAGCCGGGGGACCAAGCTAATCAAAGTTAACGTGATTAGCCGCTAGATGGCGATCGCAAATTCCCTTCCGCCGCAGCTGAGCGGTACCAATAGAGCGGAGGCTAAGCCTCCGTCTAAAAACAAAGGAGTTCCAAGATCAGACTAAAGATATCTCAGAGGGGCTTAATTTAGAGTTTGAAACACTGAAAGAAAAGTTTCACGAGCAAGCAAAAGAACTCAGGGCCCTAAAAGAACATTTGAAACGCTATCAATATTTGACTGAAACAGCAGTTACTTTAGCAAACAGCAATCAGCAGTATTCGCAAAAGGACAATATTAAGTTCACCAAATGGAATGAGCAAAGAAACGAAAATCTGCGTGCAGATCTCTGTGACTTGAACGAGGACGAGCGTAAAAGTGCCTGGTACTTTAATGGCAAAGTGTTTGCGTTGGATTACGATAAATATCTGGACAGTGTGTCTGACAAACTTAAACACAAATAGCATGATTTATGCATAAAGAGCTGGAGCACGAAACACTTCATTTTAATAATAAACTTTGTGATCGGGATTGATTGAAGCTAGAGAATGCGAAAGTGTGTGACATGGTATGTGTGTGAAGATTATCCACTTTTCTTTTGTTTTGTTGCTTATTTCTCCAAAAAACTACATATAATATCCGCTTCTTTGTCTAAGTATTATTCTGTCACAGGGTGAATAAATTAATATTATAATAAATACTATATAATTTATTCATTAATAATTTGTGACCTATTACCATTACCATCATCATTTCATCTATTATACAGCATAGTGAATTACAGTACTCTGGAATTTACTATGTGTTCAGTCATTCATAAAGTCATTCATTGATATTCATGGGGTTGAATGCTCATTGGTTAGTTTGAGAGTGTGAAAGGTCAAAGGTGTCTGTGTCAGAATGGGTGAGGTTTGAAGGTGTATGATAGGTTGATATTTCAGTGTGAGAAGTGTGTGAGTGGTTTTACTAGTTTGGTACCCAATACGCATGCTTGGCGCCAAACACCCTTAATAACTCACTCCACCCTAAGACAGCCAGGAGAAAGGAAGAGTTTATCTCCTCTCCAGATATATAGTCATAGTCATTTCATTTAATATATTAAATACCTTATCAATTAATTATCTAATTAAAGATGACAAATTAAAGTATTCTAAAATAATTAAATGTGTGAGTGTTAGAGTATGAGTGTATTCATTTATTTTACAGGTCACCTTGTTAATTGTACTTATTATTATATCATCAAGAAAGTAATTGAAATATAGATAAAGAAAAGAACCCACAACAGCTGTTTTGTTATTTATGGAGTAACATTTACAAATATAGTGCGGCTGTGACAATGGCGCCCAACCGTGTGATTTCAGTTACAAAAGAATCTATATTTATAAGGTGATTCGATCTCAACGGTGGAAAAATTATCAATCCATTCATTCATTCTTCTTTTATTATTATTCATTATGTGAATTCACCATTTCAACACTGTGTTTTGTGTTTGTGAGTTTTACTCAGAGGCCTAACTTCTTCGGAGAATGTACCGTTATGCCCCGTGCACCTAATCTACATATTTGTGACGTCACACACACATGAACCTAGGTTACTTTCGTTTTCGATGGATATCCGAGGATCTTCACCGCTGGAACCCGTTTTCTGGACGACGCTGGACCAGTGACTGTTTTCCAAGGATTCTGTGACTCTATTTAACTCTTAATCTTAATATTTTCATTGTGTTTGTTTAAATTGCATATTTGTACTATTGTTTATTTTCATGTGCATGGTGTGAGAGTTGCATGACTGCCACGCGAGTGTAAAAATATTCTAAAAGTTTAAAGTAAAAGTTAAACAGTTAAAGTAAGTAATTTATAGCAATGCTGTTATTGACATTCATAACATTCCCGCATGTTTCTTAACAAGATGCACTACTAACAACAGGTACGTAGTCACAATAGCGTTTTGGAAGACAGAGGAAATTCGAGTAGCAGGTGCGTGGTGAGAAATAGAGTGCAGTTTTTGTCAGGAGAACCTTGTGTTAAATTTAAGTGTCATATATAGTTCATTTCAGCTCATTTCATCACTAAATCATATCATACAAACATGTTATCAAATATTAACCAATCATATTAATTTTTGTGACTTACAGGTGATACTTGTTATCTTGTTACACAGTGACAGCTGATTTCTATGAATCACTTTACCATGATCAAATTTACTTAATAATTTGTTGCAGGTATTCAAATTTTTGCAGGAAAAGAAGAAGTGAAAGCATTGTTTATTTTCATATATATTCATTATTTAGTTTATTTGTATTTAATTGTAAATTTTCCTTTGTTCATCTAGGTATATATGAGCAACAGCAAATTGTTGAAGTATTTAGAAAGACCAATTATATCCAAGTCTGTAGTTAGTAGATCAATATTAATTAGTGATAGTAAGGGTTATTATTTAAAGAAACATTTAGATTTGTTGAAACATAATAGATTATTTGTGCAATTTGAATGTAGACCAGGAGCTCGTTTCGCCGATTTCTATCCGTGGCTGAAAAGAAACTTACCGGGTTTTGTACAGCAATACGGCCAGATTACGCTTTATATTTGGCTGGGAACTTGTGATATTACTCGGAAGTCAGGAAAATATATTGATTTAAGGTACGTAAATTCTGCTTTGTGTGTACAAAATATCATTCATTATATTGATTTGTTTGTATCTTTTATCAATCAGTTCAAAGAGGTTACACCTGTATTTTTGGACATTCCTCCATATTCAATTGTGGAATGGAATAAAACAAAATTTCACAGTAATCCTGAAAATTTCAAAGAACAAGACAAAACTTTAAATGAAATCATTGGCATCCTGAATGATTACATCAGGAATATAAATTCTAATCATCTTGTTTCTGGGCCTAGATTTAAGCTTGATCTATTGAGATACAGAAAAGAAAAAGGCAAAAGTCAACGTATTTCATACAATTTTCAGTTGTACATAGATGGAGTTCATCCAGGCTCTTTGTTAGGAAGAGTATGGTTGAAAAGACTGATTGATTGCATTTTTATCAATTCTTTGTAATGTTTAGTTAGATACTGTTATTTGTTTTATTGGTGCATTATTCCGAGGCAGGTTTGTCTCTGTTGGTAGGGACAGACCCAATCACAGAGAATATCCCTGTTTCATATAAATTGTACCATAGATTTTATTGTCAGATATACATATACATGTCTCGCTGCTAGGTCAATATTGGAAGGGACTGACCCAATCATATTAACATACCTGTGCAGTTGTTACTTGTATATTGTATAAAATTAAGTAGTCATTATAGTTTTATTAATCTTAGATTATGGCTACTGGAAACGGTAATGGTAATGGTGATGGTACAGGTGAAGAAGGGGAAGAAATTTCTATTAAACAGCACATAGATGAAGTAAACAAAGACCCAAACTATAAGGTTCTAACAAAAGAGGAATATGAAATATTAGTAAATGCAGGTCTTAAACAAGAGCAAAAGACAAGTACTCCTTTTAAAAGTCCAGGTTGGCATCCATTTTCTCCAATGTCAAAGTTACTCAATACAATGGGTGATTCCAAAAACCTTGGTAATGTCTCCATGTTTCAAGGTAATCAATATCCCACCCCTAAATTACCAACATTTAGTGGAACAGATGAGCCACAGAAAGGGGAAGTTAGGTATGAGGTTTGGAATTTTGAAGTAAAGTGCTTACTAAATTCAAATCAGTACCCAGAACATATTCTACTTCAAGCCGTAAGAAATTCTTTAAAAGGTTTAGCTAGAAGTATGTTAGTGTCAGTAGGGGATAAAGCTTCTATCCAAGACATTTTGAGAAAATTAGATGGATTTTTTGGCAATGTCGCCTCAGGTGAAACGCTTATGCAGTCATTTTACAATGATTGTCAAAAAGAGGGGGGATCCATTGTTGTTTTTGCTTCTAGATTAGAAGACACATTATCAAAAGCGATCAAATTTGGTCACATTGGTAATGAGGCAAAAGATGGGATGTTAAGAAGTAAATTTTGGACCGGTTTAGGTAGTCAACAATTAAAACAAAGCACAAGACATCTGTTTGACTCTATTAAAAATTTTGAATCTTTACTTAGGGAAATTAGGAAGGTACAAGAGGAAATAACATCACAAAGGAGTACTGGGACAACAAAGCAAGCAAGACAGGTATTTCAACAGGCAGAGAGAGCAGAGACTACTACATCATCAACAGACCTGCAGAAAGAAATACAGACAATGGTAAGGACAATGGAAAGGTTAGAACAGAAAATTGACAGTAATGCAAAAAGTTTCCAACAATTGAACAAAAGAGTTTATGAATTAGAAAGTAATACACAGAGACAACAAAGTTTTTATTCAAATAGAGGTTCGTTTACAAGGGGTAGGTTCAACTACTCAAACAGAGGTTTTGGTCGAGGTCGTGGTCAAAGTCAAGGTCAAAATCAAGGTCAAAACCAAGGTCAGAGTCAGGGTCAGAGTCAGGGTCAAAGTCAATACAAACCATCCCAAGTTGGACAGAATTCAAAAAAATACTAACCTCTTCTATTGAAGGGCAGATGGAGGAGGAAAACAGGGTTCAGAAAAGCCCTATTAGAAACACAAATTCTGAATTTAAAAATTTGTTATCAAGAATGGTTGGACATCAGAATGAAAGTATCATATTTGTAAATAGTGTAGAAACAAAAGCTTTGATTGATACTGGATCAATGGTCACTTGCATGTCTGAAAATTTTTACCAATCTTTACAAAACAAACCAGAGTTGCATAATATAGAAGACTTTGAACTCAAAGTTTATAGTGCAGAAGGCAATTCTTTACCATTTTCAGGATATATAGAAGTTGAATTACAAATTCCTTCTTTGTCTTTGAATCCTTTTTATGTACCAGTTCTAGTCACAAAAGGAACTGAATACAACAGTAAAGTTCCTGTTATTGTAGGTACGAATGTTATAAGGTTGTGTAAAGATTATGCAAACTCAGAACATACAGATGTTCCAGAGGAATGGAAATTAGCATTTGCAAATCTTAGTGTAAACAATGATATTCCTGTAAAGACCACTAACAAATATTCAATTACAGTAGGTCCTTATGAGGTAAAAACTATCTCAGGAGTAGTCAAGTGTTGCAACAGCATGCAGGTAAGTGCCGCTATTACAGAACAAATTGAAAACCAATCAAATAACAACAGTCTTTTAGTATGTCCAAGAGTAGTATCACTCAAAAATGGGAAGACCTCACGAATTCCAATAAGGGTGTGTAACATGTCAGCACGACCAATCAAAGTGTCACCAAAGTCCCTTATTTGTAAATTAAGTTCTGTAAAAGTAGTAGATGCTTGGGAACCTTCAACATCAAATGATTCTAGAAACAAATCAGAATTAGACCTATTAGAGTTAGGGGTGAAAATCAATGAAAACAAATTATCCCCTGATAAAGTTGAGAGTTGTCACCAATTTTTGAACAAATGGAAACACATGTTCTCTACTTCTTTAAAAGATATAGGTAGAACAGACTTAGTGGAGCATGAAATTAATTTGTCAGATAATACTCCATTTAAGGAACCCTATAGACGAATACCTCCAGGAATGTATGAAGAGGTAAGGCAACATCTTAAAGAAATGTTAGAGGCAGATGCCATAAGAGAGTCAAAAAGTCCATATTGTTCAAATGTTGTACTTGCTAGAAAGTCAGATGGTTCTTTAAGATTTTGCATCGATTTAAGAAAGTTAAATAACAAAACCATCAAGGACGCTTACAATCTCCCAAGAGTTGAGGAAACCATAGACACTCTTATTGGTAGTAAGTACTTTACAAAGTTGGATCTTAGATCTGGATACTGGCAGGTTGAAATCAAAGAAGAAGATAAACACAAAACAGCGTTTTCATTAGGTCCCCTTGGATTTTATGAGTGTAACCGCATGGCTTTTGGTTTAACAAATGCTCCCGCCACTTTTCAGCGGTTAATGGAGAATTGTATGGGGGAAATGAATTTAAAACAGTGTTTAATATTTTTAGATGACATCCTTGTTTTTTCTTCAACATTTGAAGAACATTTAGAAAGATTAGAAGGTGTATTTAAGAGACTAGAAAAACACAATTTAAAGTTGAAACCTTCAAAATGTGAATTTTTTATGTCTGAAGTGAAATATTTAGGACATGTTGTGTCAGAGAAGGGAATACAAACAGATCCCGACAAAATTTCAGCATTAAAAACATGGCCAGTTCCTAAAGATATAAAATCTCTACGTTCTTTTCTAGGATTTACAGGCTACTACCGGAGATTTGTCAAAGATTATGCCAGATTAGTAAGACCTCTCAATGACTTATTAGGTGGACATCCGACTAATAAGAAGTCCAAGACAAGTAAGAAAAAGAAGACTCCTTGGGTATGGGGTAAGAAAGAACAACAGTCATTTGAAACATTGATAGAGAAACTTACCTCACCTCCAATATTAGCATTTGCAGACTTTTCAAAGCCATTTATTGTTAATATTGATGCTTCAAAGGAAGGTTTAGGGGCAGTATTATACCAAAATCAAGGAGGTTTAGATAGAGTTATTGCATATGCCAGTAGAGGACTACGGTCAAGTGAGCAAAATTACCCTGCCCACAAATTAGAATTTTTATGTCTAAAATGGGCTTTATGTGACAAATTTCACGATTACTTATATGGCAATACATTTGACGTATTTACGGATAATAATCCATTAACATATGTAACAACCACAGCCAAGTTAGATGCAATGTCGCACAGGTGGTTGGCATCTCTTTCCAATTACAATTTTAAATTACATTACAAAACAGGTAAATCAAACAGAGATGCAGATGGATTATCTCGTAGACCTACAGAAATTTGTCCTAATGTAATTAAAGCTTTAACTTCAGCTGTATTAGTAGAAAAGGAAGAACTTCCTTTGGCTGAAAGTTTAGTTTTGACAAAAAATGCTACACTACAAAGTAATAGTGAGGATAACGAACTACAAGAATTTAGCAATATTAACTGGGCTGTAGAACAAAGAAAAGATACATCTATTAACAGACTTATTGAATTATTAGAAACAGGTTTGAAACCAGAAAGTAGAGAGTTGAAACATGAAAACTTAGAAATTAGAGAATACCTTAGAGAATGGAGAAATTATGAAATATGTAAGAATATTCTTTATCGTCATACTATGGTTGATGGCAAAAACATTAAACAACTAGTATTACCATCACATTACAGAAATGTTGCATTTAAAGGTATTCATAACGATGTTGGCCACCAGGGCAGAGACAAAACTTTATGGTTGGCAAAACATAGATTTTACTGGAATGGTATGGAAAAAGAAATTAAACAAAGAGTTGAGACTTGTGGTAGATGTGTTCGTAGAAAAACAGCAGAAAGCCCTCGAGCTAATCTTGTAAATATTCAGACTACTAAACCTTTAGAAATACTATGTATTGATTTTTTAACATTAGAAAAGTCTAAAGGTGGATTTGAAAATATTTTGGTAATAACCGACCATTTTACAAAATATGCAATGGCAGTTCCAACTAAGAATCAACTAGCAAAAACAACAGCTAAAGCTCTGTTTGAGAATTTTATTTGTCATTACAGTTTCCCAGAAAGACTTCATTCCGATCAAGGTCGCAATTTTGAAAGTAAGGTTATAAAAGAACTTTGTGCAATTAGCGGAATAAGTAAAAGTAGAACTACACCTTACCACCCAATGGGAAATGGTCTTGTAGAAAGATTTAATCAAACTTTAATCAAAATGCTAGGCACTTTGGAAAATTATAAGAAGGAAGACTGGAAATCATATATACTTCCTTTAGTACATGCATACAATGCAACCAAACAAGACACTACAGGATTCAGCCCTCATTATTTGATGTTTGGTTGGCATCCAAGGTTAGCTATTGATGCCTTTTTAAATCTAGATGATCCAGAATCTTCAGTTAAACCTAAAAGTCATCTGAACTATGCTGAACAGTTAAAGAAAAGATTACAATTTGCCTACAAAGTTGCAAGATCAAATAGTGATAAGAACAGTTCTCGACACAAAGAAAATTATGACAATAAAGTTCGTTTTTCTAACTTAGAGATTGGCGACAGAGTTTTGGTACGGTTATTAGCAAAAACAGGAAAATGTAAACTCTCAGATAAGTGGGAGAAAGACCCTTATGTGGTATTAGACAAACCAAATGAAGACATTCCTGTGTACAAGGTACAAAGGGCATCAGGAAAGGGACCTACAAGGTTACTGCACAGAAATTTATTACTACCTTTTATGTTTCTTGCAGATGAAGAAGAGATTGACAAGACACCCCCAACAGTTTTCAAAAGAAAAACCAGACAAAGTAAGAAGAGGAAAGATGAAGTAAATGAAGAAGAGTCTGATTCCAGTGAATCAGATTCAGAACAGGAAATATATGTGTCAAGACCTTTTAACTCTAAAAGAAAGAACAATGTCTTAAACACTTCAGGTGTAAATCACAATATTGACCTCAATAGTTCAAGTGAACATATGGGATCAAGTGGTTCTAGGGCAATGTCCACTTTCAATTTGAGTCCAAGTCAAAATACTTTCAATGTGAGTAATGATGTTTCTGGTAGACCAAATCATCATACTTTCAATGTTAGTAATAATGTCAGTAGACCTATGCAACAGTTAGATTCATTTTCTTCTGTTGATCCTGAATCTTATATTCAAGATAATAACTCGAACACAATTTCGGGCTTAGATTACACTAATGTTAATCGAAATCAGCCATGTGAACGTGAAACGAGTCTGTCTACTGCACAACCGAGACGCTCTACTCGTGTGCGAAAAGCACCAGATAAATACGGTGAATGGGTAGTTGGGGAACAGTGTGCTCAGGTTTGGTATGTGTAGGGGGAGAATGCCACAGGGTTATGTTATATGTATTATAGTTTTATGATCTTAGATTTAGTAATTTACTTAGAAGAGTTACTAAATTAATTTTATTGATGAACTAAAATGTGATGCACAGTATATAGGTGTGTATTGTAGTTTTATGACAGTAGATTTAGTAGTAGCTTTAGAGTAGTTACTTAGTTTATTTTATGATATTAATCATGTATTGTTTTTCAGAATAGTGAATTTGATTTTACTTGGATTATGCTTGTTCTTTTGATTGATCATTAGCATTACAACTTATGTTTATAATGCATAACAGTTCTTCTTGTTTACAGGAGAAGACATTTCCAATGATCAAGTGTCAAGTATTAAGCAATATTATTTTAATTTATCTGATTATTTTTATTTCAGATGTGATATGTTTCATATTTGAAATGTCAGGAGACATTTTTCTCTAAGAGGGGGAGAATGTCACAGGGTGAATAAATTAATATTATAATAAATACTATATAATTTATTCATTAATAATTTGTGAACTAATATACTAATCATTTCATTACCATCATCATCATTTTCATCTATTATACAGCATAGTGAATTACAGTACTCTGGAATTTACTATGTGTTCAGTCATTCATAAAGTCATTCATTGATATTCATGGGGTTGAATGCTCA